TAGGAAATTTGCCGCATTTTAAAATGATGCAATTCATACATTCATCTGGCATTGACTGTCTATTAAATTAATTGAAAAAAGTAAAATAAATGAATAAAAACAAGCTTTGCAGGAAGTTTTCACTGATGGATTACTGTTTTGTGTTTCTGCAGTCTGTCAGGCTGTCTGATCACAGAGAAAGGCTGTATTTCTCTGGCCTCTGCTCTGAGCTCCAACCCCTCCCATTTGAGAGAGCTGGACCTGAGCTACAATCATCCAGGAGGCTCAGGATTGAAGCTGTTGTTGGCTGGACTGAAGGATCCAAGTTGGAGACTGGACACTCTCAGGTATGGAGAGAATTTTTGTTTGTTTAATTGTACTAAAGTCTGAAGAAAGAAGTTTCATTACTGTAAATTTAACAATTTATTCATGATTGTCTGGGAGACAGCCATCAGCCATATCGTCCTGCAAACCTTCATCTTGCTTGCTCTAGGCTGTTCTTTTTCCCAGTGGATGAGAGGGTTGTTTGTTTCAAGTTATGTATGTCAATAAGTGACATGTGGGATCAGGGCACCCTAGGTCATAGACCAATGATTGATTTTGTAATCCCATAATTGGACACTTGGGTGAAGAGAGGTCAACTGTCAAGTGGATCATTTGGCACTGCAGGATGCTGGACAGGACTGGCAAACCTAAACATATAGTGAGGTTGCACTGGGAATGTCTGGTGTGGGCTGCAGTCCAAGAGACTGCAGTCTGACAAAGTGATCAGCAGCACTGGAGCACGACAAGGGACTGTCCTCTCCCCTTTCTTGGATCCTATCACAACTATAACACGACAAGAGGTGGGGTACATCCTGGACAGAATGGCAGTGTGTTGTAAACATTTGCACTCAAATTCACACCTATGGTCAATGTAGAATTACCAATTAATCTAACCCCACTAATTACATGTCAAGCTTGGGCCAAATTGCCAGCAGAAAAAATTGGATTCATTCCTGGTGTGTTGTGGACTCCGACAGGGCTGCCCTTTCTTGCTGATTCTGTTCCTTATTTTTATGGACAGAAATATTCTGTTTTACCTATGTAGTGGAAGGCTTCCACTTGATGGCCTCAGAATCTCATCTATCCTTTTTGTAGACGGCGTGGTTCTGTTGGTTTCATTAGGTACATTATATTTATGTGTCACTCTGGCACAGCTGGCTGCCAGCGGAGCTCACGGGCACGTTACTGCAACGCTCCTTCTGCTCCACGGCTGCTGAGTGACCCCTCATCTGGGGCTCTCCTCAGCTCTTTCGAGGAGAGTGGCACGGTTGCCCCTCCTTTGGTCTTCCTTGGTCTGTTAATCTCTTGGGGTCTCTGGATTTCTGGAGCCTGGCTCTCCTCCATGCCTTACAGACACAAACTGCACCCTTTTTGGCTCCTACCTCAAAGCACACTGTGCTCTTTCAATCCTACATGCTGCACATTAATATTCAATATTTAGTATTTACTGTTATATTCACATAAATTATCACGATGATGTTGTTTATTATGTTGCTCTCTTTTTTTGCTTGTTTTCTCTTTTTCTTTTTTAAACAGGTGATCCAGGTGATTGATATATGTATTTTCTGTCTGTTGGTTTTTGTTTTTTGCCCTTTATCACCATTCCTCTTCCCCGCTGTTTTTCTTTCCTTACCTCTTTCTTTCTCCCTTATCTTTCCCCCAGTCATATCTGTCCAGTGTGTAGTAAGTTAAAATAAAATAAACAATAAAAACAAAGGTGAATCAAATAGACCAATACAGCAAGGCGGGGATGGTCCATTTGTTAAAGTGAATCCGTTGGGCATCTTTCTTTGCCTTTAGACAATAATTCTGATGGCAAAAGAATCAAATGGGACAGGCAAAAAAAAAGAAAGAAAGAATAATAAAAATTACTACAATAATGGTCATGCCAAAGTATCTAAATAAGAATTAATTCTAAACTTTGACATGGCCACTCAAAAACATCAATCTTGGGGGATTTTGTTATTCTGAGGTAGATTAATAATCACTTTATTGACAGTAAGGAGAACATTTCAAGTGGAGAACAGTCAAAGGATGTCAAACCAGATTTCATTGCTGCAACAACCATTCCACCAACTGCTTCAAAGGACTGACAGATCCAGGACAAGTCCAAATCATCAGCAGTTTGATCCATGTATGGACTGAAGTGTATTTCTGAAAATGTTGGACTGTTCCTTTATCAGTGTCTAACAGTATGTGTATGAGAGCGATGTAATGTCCATGTGTGCCTGCTGAAAGAGACTGTGCTGGTCTTACCCCCCTCCTCCTTTCAGGGTGGAGCCTGCTGGAGTCCAATGGTTGAGACCAGGTCTGAAGAAGTGTAAGTGTGTTTTTAATGTGATTCATGAAAACAAAGCAGCACATATTCAACCATCTTCAAACTGTCACATCACTCATTCACATCTCTGATGTCAGGAGTCATCATCAGTGTGTCAATCAATGAACAGATGATGGATCAATAACTGCAGCTGGATTGTGTTTGTTCTCTCCATCAGATTCCTGTCAACTCACAATTGACACAAACACAGTTCACACAAACCTCAAACTGTCTGACAACAACAGGAAGGTGGCACGTGTGATCGAGGTTCAGTCATATCCTTATCATCCAGACAGATTTGACTATGAACCTCAACTGCTGTGTAGAAATGGTCTGACTGGTCGCTGTTACTGGGAGGTCGAGTGGAGAGGGGAGGTCCAAATATCAGTGAGTTACAGAAGAATCAGAAGGAAAGGAAACAGTGATGACTGTGTGTTTGGATACAACGAGAAGTCCTGGAGTCTGTACTGCACTGATGATGGTCCTCGTTCTGTGTGGCACAATAACAAAAACACGCCTATTTCCTCCATCTCCTCCTCTTCCTCCTCCTCCTCTGTCTCTAACAGAGTAGCAGTGTATGTGGACTGTCCTGCTGGCACTCTGTCCTTCTACAGAGTCTCCTCTGACACTCTGATCCACCTCCACACCTTCAACACCACATTCACTCTAAAACTTTATCCTGGGTTTTTTATCTGGTCTCGTTCGACAGTGTATCTGTAAAGAGTGTCATCCTGTTAGAGAAACACTGGCTGTTGAACAGATAGTTCAGTCTGTACATGTCTGTCTCTTACACTCAGAAACACGTTTTCAGATTCATGGATTCAATCAGTTAATGTTTTAAACTGTTCTAAATGATTTCTTGTTCCTCTTCAGTCCTTTAAAGATGGAAGCTCCCATTATTACAGGTTTCACATGTTGTTTTTCTGTCTTGTTCCACTCAAAGCTTCACAGTGAATATCAGTATGTTGTGTTTCTCTGAAGCTTAGTTCACAACCAGCTCCTCTGCATTTTCAACAAGTCTGAGCTCATTGAAATGAATCCAAATGTTTGATTTCTCTTTCTCAATGGGATGTGTTCAAACTCTGCACATGCTCTTACTGTTTCACTCATTGTTGGAAGTTCATCCTTTGAAAATGTTTCAGCCATATAAGCTGAAAATATTGGCTCAATAGTTTTGAATGCAGTTCTACGTAGAATCTGATTGTATTGAGATATCATAATGCATGTGACTATATACATAGCAAAGGCTGCATTAAACATTTTAAACTTGCATCGTGTTTTCAGAGACATTTTGAATAAGAATATGGTGTAGTATGGTGGTAACCGTTTCTAATTTTCTTAGAAATATCTAAATACATATTGTGTATCACTTCAGCTTCTATAAAAATTAAACTATCACAAAGGGTCCTGGTGAAGAATCTTGTGGAATTTGGTGACAGACATTAAATTAATTTTTAATATAGAAATATTTGAATCACTGTTATAATTTCAACTTCACATTTAATAAAACGTTGTGTGAAAAACATTAAGGAAGTGATGTCAGATGTATTTATGTCAATAAAACTTTAAAAAATTACACAAAAATGCTTTTGAAACAACCTTCTGTCTTTTGGTGTATATATCTCTGAGTTTACACGTCAATTCTCAAGGAGGGGAAACAAGGCAGAAGGACACAGACACCCACAGATGGACACAGAGGGCAAAGACACAAGGGGAAATCTAATAAACAATATTGAACAGAATAACTCAGGTATTATAGAATAATTCTTAACACAACCAAATAGACTTAACATAATACAAAACTGACAAACAGACAGGAAACTCAAACCGCTGGGTCAAATTGACCCAGGACCATGACATTGGCCATCTTCCACAACAAGCCGGGGGTGTAGGAGAAAGACTGGACAAAGACATGCTGTGGAAGAGAATCAGAGATTAACAATGATAACATTAACAATAATAATTAAATGCATATTTGTTTATAAAAATGGTGAGATGAAATTGGCTAGAGAAACAGTGCAATGGGAGCATAGGACTATTGCAGGATGACTAAGAAAGAGTACAAAGTAACCTGATCAAGCTTATATAGGCTATTGGGAAAAGCTCAAGAAGTATGCACAGCATTGTCAACTGACGACAGCTGACAAATTATGATATTGTGAAAGCCACTGTCCTGTTTGTGTATGAGTTAGTGGTGAAGGTGTATAGGCAAAAGTTTCAATTTGGGAAAAAAAAAACATACCAGCCACATGTGGAGTTTGCGAGGAGGGAAATAATTTTTTTGACAAATCATGTCAGGCTCATAAATCAAATCAAAATTTATTTATATAGCACATTTAAAAACAACAGTGTCACTCAAACTGCTTCACAAATTAGGGAATAAATAAAATAAGAATAATTTACGAAACAGCAACACAAGACAAGACAAACTTAGAAGCCAACCAAATGATAGTTAAACTAACTCCCACATAGCAGTCTGGCCCGGATCTGGTATCGACCCGGCACTGCTGGCTGACTTCTGGCATGATAAGACGTATGACATCCAGATATGGGCCAGGCCTGGCATAGATGGGACTGTCATGGCATGCTATATCTGACTCGATTGTGGTTTGGTTTATGTGGCCCAGGCTCATAGAAAACAGGCCTGGCCCGGATCTGACATCAAGCTGGCACTTCTGACTGACTGGTGTCATGGCAGAGTGTATGTCAACCAGATATGGGCCAGGTCTGGCAATGAGGCACTATTTATGTTCCTATTTTGCTATTTTAGTTAGAAGACCCAAATGCCATGTTGCAATACTATACTGCTATGGTAGCCAACGTTTCAAATGCAGGTTTGACAGGTTTGTGAGTGTACACTTTATCCAAAACCTAGTGAGAGTTTACCCATCTTTGCCAGTGGGTGGCTGTAGCTCAGGCAGTAGAGCAGGTCTCCTATTGATCGGAAGGCTAGTGGTTTGATCCCTGGCTTCTCCAGTCTGCATGTTGTGAATGTGAATGTGCATGAGTGTAGTTAAGAAGCACTCAGTTAAGAGAAAGTGTGTGGTTGGGTGAATGTGGCATGTTGTATTGAGCACTTTGCGTAATCTGGGAGAGTTGAAAAATTCTATATAACAATCAGTCCATTCATTGTCTGAGCAGAATTTTGTCATGCTACTTTTGCACTATTATGCACATGTTGTTATTACATGGCTTAATTAAGGTACACATTAGGCTGACACCTGGGGCCTGAGCTGAAACTGTTCTGGGCCAGCACAGGGCCAGCAGTGTGTCTGCAACTGGCCCGTGGCTGCACACAACTTACACCCACATACCGCAAAGAATGAGGGCCCTTTGGTGGCCCAGACTAGGTTTGCCAGAGGTAATCCACACATGGGCCACCAAAGGACCACCAGTGTGTCTGCAATTGGCCTTGTGCTGGCCCATGTGTGGGCCACCTTCAGCAAACCAGATCTGACCAGATCCGGACCATACCAATTTTGCTATGTGCGCTTAAGTCAGACCCAGGGTAAAAAGATGAGTCTTTAAGCGAGATTTGAAAGACTGAATAGACTCAGAAGAGCGAATGGCAATAGGAAGATTGTTCCACAGTCTAGGTGCTGCAATAGCAAAGGCACGACCACCTTTGGTTTTCAGACTAGACTTAGGTTGCATTAAGAGCATCTGATTTTGAGATCTTTGTGCTTTTTTTTAGGATTATACAAATGGATAAGCTCGTTTTATTAAAGGAGTTCAAAAACCAACTCACACAGAGGATACTAACTTATTTAAAAGGGCAAAATGTTACTGTGCTAGGTGCTGCTATTATACAAGCAGGTGAGTTTGCTCCAACACATAAGAGTGTTCCCTCAGCTCCTGTAACACACTAGATTCAATTAGCTAAAAAAAATTGCTTTACTAAAATCTCCCTTCGTACCACCACTGCTAGGGAAACACGAGAATGTTTTTACTGCCATGAGCAAGGATACCTTATTGCCCCTCCCCCTCTAAGCTTAAAAGGAAAAGGAAAGAGCTGTCTAAGAAAGGCAAAAAAAAAAAGATCACAGATCCTCAAGGAGACGACCTTTTAAGCCCCAGGGGTTGCTCTGGGTTGCTTCTTACTTGAAAATAACATGCCCAAAGTGAACTGACTATTTCTCTTCAATTAGCAAAACTCTGTATAGACTATCTTGGAATAACTATAGGCGGGGTGGGGGTATGAATTAAAAAAAAAAAAAAAGACTTCTGCTAGCGTAATGGACAGGTTTTTGATGGGGCTCCCACACAAACGGAAAGCAGAAGATGAAGCATCCCCAAATATGTTTTCAATCCCATTTCCAAGCCAAAGACTAGAAAATATGATGAAGCATATATTGCCTTTGGCTTCTCAACCGTGGATAATGAGGAGAGGCTGCAATGTGTTGTCTGTCTTAAAGTGCTAGCTTGTGACAGTTTAAAGCCTACCAAGATAAGACGCCACTTAAAGACAAAACATCCAGAGCACAAAGACAAATCTGTGGACTTTTTCAGAAAAAAACTTCTAAATTGTCGTGGTCATCAGTGTTTCTTTACTATAGCTGCATCTGATTCGTCAAATGCTTTCCTCGGCTCCTATAAAGTTCCCTACCGAGTGGCTCAGTGTATAAAGCCGCGAATAATTGCGGAGGAATTAATACTTCCCTGCGCTATGGATATGGCTTCAACAATGATTGACGACAGAGCCAGCAAACTACGGGCTATTCCTTTGTCCAATAATACCATCGGCAGGTATATTTATGATATGTCAAAGGACATAGAGGAGCAACTTAATGATAAGGTGCGTGACAGCCACTGATAATGTATGTCAGATTTATTGATGGAGATGAGATGAGGGGGGAATTGCTTCTCTACAAACAAGTTCCTGCCAGAGCCACTGTATGGGCTCAAAATGTGGTCATAAATATTGTGTACTTGTAAATCAGTTTTGTACTTGTAAATCAGGATTTGCATGTGTAAAAAGAATTTGTGTTAGTGTTTTGGAAATGACAGTTTTCACTACAAAGCTCTCTTCGTTACAAATTAGCACTCACGTTTTTATTGAACATTTGAAGAATTAGCAAAAAAAAC